GGGCACGGGACACGGGGGACGCACGCGAGGGGGTGGGCATGGAGGGGCAAGGACGCGAGCGGGGTGGGCATCCAGGGACGGGGACACGCGGGGGTCATGGGCACGAGGGGGTGAGTTAAAGGGGCAGTGGCACGAGGGGACGCGGTGGTCACGGAGGGACACGAGGGGGTGGGCACGGACACGGCGGGTGGGCGTGTGGCAGGGTGGGCACGGACGGAGGGACATGGACAAGAAAGGGTGGACACGGACACGAAGGGGTGGGCACGGGAGGGGGGACACGGGGGGACACGGATGTGACAGGCTGGACACGGACGCGATGGGGTGGACTTAAAGGGGCAGTGACACGAAGGGACGGGGACAGGGCGGTCACGGAGGGACACGGATTTGAGGGGATGGACACGGAGGGGCACCAAGGGGGTGGCCGCGGACACGCGACACAGAGGGACACGGATGTGACAGGTGGACACATGCAAGGGGTTGGGCGTACATGGGCACGGACACGAGGGGGACACACGGACACGAGGAGGGGACACACGGACAGGAATGGGAGCAGGGAGTCACGAAGGGACTCGGACACCAGGGGGCGGGCACGGACACGGAGTGACACGAGGGGACACGGAGGGGACAAGGATGGACAAGGATGGACACAGGGGGGTGGACGTGGAGGGACGTGGACACCGGAGGGGGCTTGGACACGGCGAGTGGACACTCGGGACACTGAGCTGCAGACACCGGCATGGGGACACCCACCCTGCCAGGGGACACAGCCGCAGAATCCCCCCACTCCCACCCGGCTTTGGGGTCCCCTCACACTCGGGGGGTCCCTGTGCTGCCGGGTGGGGGGGGTGGTCTGTGAGCACACCCGTGTGGGTGTCCCTATGTGCCCACACGCGTGTCCCCCACCCTCGGGTCACCGGGGTCACCGGGACGCTCGGCCAGTGCCGGGGGGATGCTCGGCACGCCAAGAAAGGACCGGGGCTCTGGCAGGGGTCAGGGGGTGCTGACCTGGGGGTGCTGCCCCCCTGCCCCCCCCCGGGACCGGCTACGCCCTGGCAGGGTGACACGGGACAGCCGGACCCGCCTGTTCCTCTTCCCCACACCAGGCAGAGCGGCCGGAGCGCAGGCGAGTCGGGCTGCTGTGGCTGGGAGGGGGAAGGGGGGCAGGAAATGCCCCGCTGGGACCCCCGGGAGCTGCCCAGCCCTGGAACAGCGGGAGCGGCGTGGGGACTAAACTGGGCTGCACTGGTTTGAACTGGGAGGGGGGACCCGCTGGGAATTGGGGGGTCCTGATTCCCGTTTCCCCCCAGGCTGCCGCTGCAGGGGAGGGACCATGGGGCTCCCCGCGGCCCCGCTGGTGCTGCTGCTGCTGCTGCTGCACCCCATGAGCTCCGTGCTCCTCTTGTCCCCCTGCTTCCCCTTGCCGCTGGACATTTCCGAGGAGCTGGACCTGAGCAACAGGAGCAGCGGCTGCGCCGAGCTGGACTGGAGCCCGTTCCACCGGCACCGCCGGCTGCTGCTGAGGCACAACGGCATCGAAGCCCTGAGCCCCTCGGCCCGCCTGGGGCCCGGCGTGGAGGAGCTGGACCTGGCGGACAACCGGCTGCGGGAGCTGCCCCGCGGCTTCTTCAGCAACGCCACGGCGCTGCGGAGCCTGCGGCTGGAGGGGAACCCGCTCCGCGCCCTGCCCCGCGCCGCCTTCCAGCCCGCGCTCAGCTCGCTGGCCGTGTCCTGCCGCTGCGACCTGCTGGCCACCGTGGTGGCCCCGTGTGCCCGCGGGGGGATCCGCTGCCTGTGCTTCACAGCCAGCCGCCGTCCCTTCAACGCCACGGAATTCCACGCGCGGGAGTGCGGGCTCGGCGCGGGGCCCGTGGCCGGCGTGGCGGCGGCGGTGGCCGCGCTGGTGGCCCTGCCGGTGGCGGCCGCGGTTTGGTGGCGGCGGAGGAGAGCGGGGGCCGCGGTGGGCGGCGTGGGGAGGGGGAAGCAGGATCCCGGCGGAAACCTGCGGCAGCCGCGCTACATCAGCCGGGACGCCGGGAGCGGCCCCGCCGATGCCGCCGATGCCCCCGACTACGAGAACGTCTTCGTGAGCCCCGGCACGGCCCCGGTGGCTGCGCACGGGTGGGCACCGGCGCACGGGTGGGCACCGGCGTGGCAGGAGCCGCGCTACAGGTGAGGCTCCGGCCCAGGGATGGACGTTCCGGGAGTGTTCCATCCCCTCCCTGCCGTGCTGGGCCCTGATGTGGTACCCTGCCCCATCCCGCCTCATCCCACTCCATCCCATGCTGAACCTGATATCCCATCCCATGGATCCCATCAACCCCATCCCATGGATCCCATCAACACCATCAACCCCATCCCACCCATCCCATCAACCCCATCCCATCCCAGCACAGCCCAGCCCAGACTATCTCATCCCATCCATCCCATCAATCCCATGGATCTCATCCCATCCATCCCATCAACCCCATCCCATTCATCCCATCAACCCCATCCCATCCATCCCATCAATCCCATGGATCTCATCCCATCCATCCCATCAACCCCATCCCATTCATCCCATCAACCCCATCCCATCCCATCCCATCCCACCCCATCCCATCCCATCCCACCCCATCCCATCCCATCCATCCCGTCCCATCCCATCCCATCCCATCCATCCCTACCCATGCCATCCATCCATTCCATCAGTCCCATCCATCCCATGGATCCCATCCCATGGATCCCATCCCATGGATCCCATCCCATGCCATGGATCCCATCCCATCCATCCCATCCCATCCCATCCCATCCCATCCCATCAATCCCACCCCATCCCATGCCATGGATCCCACCAAACCCACCCCGATTTCTCCTCCCGGATCCCCCAGCCCTCAGGTCCCTCTGGATGAGGATTATTTCCTGGAGCGCGCGGCCGAGCCCGGGGACCACCAGCCCATCTACGCCAACACTCTGGGCCCCACCGAGGACATCTACATCATCCCTGACCACTGAGGGGCCGGGGGGGCGCGGGGCGGGCCGGGGGTCCCCTCTGTCCCCGAGGGGACGGGGACATTCCCGGGGCCGCGCTGGCTCCCACGCGGGGGGATTTTTGCGGGTGGGATGAGGCTGAGCTGCCTTCTCCTCCCGGGGCCGGGGCACGCGTGGGGTCCCGGGGCCGGCCGCAGCAGCTGGGGCTGACCACGGCCGTGGCTTCCTCTTCCCCTTCTGGGGCCCACGGAGGGCGTGGGGTGCGCCTCGCCTGGGGACGTGCTGGCGGTTGGGGACATCCGGTGCCACCTGCTCTCGCTCTTTCCTGCCGAGCCGGCCACCTCGGGTACCAAGAAAACGCTTTTTTTAAATAATCCTCCTGGTGGCACCGCGAGCTGCTGGGTTCCACGGGGACCCGTGGCTTGGCTGGCTGTCCCCTCAGTCCCTGAGAGGCGTCACTGTGCCCCATTAAATGGTTTAATTATCTCTAATTACCTGCATAGCCTGTGGTCTGTGGGCTGGGTTTTCCCTGGGGCTCCCAGAGTCTGTGTCCCCAAAGTGGGGGTCCAGAGGGACCAGGACCCTCAGGGACAGGTCCCCAGAGTCTGTGTCCCCAAAGTGGGGGTCCCGAGGGTCCAGGACCCTCAGGGACAGGTCCCCAGGGCTCGTGTCCCCAAAGTGGGGGTCCCGAGGGACCAGGACCCTCAGGGACAGGTCCCCAGAGTCTGTGTCCCCAAAGTGGGGGTCCCGAGGGTCCAGGACCCTCAGGGACAGGTCCCCAGAGTCTGTGTCCCCAAAGTGGAGATGCCGAGGTCCCAAAAGCCAGGTCTCTGCAGTCCCTGTCCCCAGAGAGGCCATCTGCACGGCTTGCATCCCCAAAATCCCCAGCCCAGAGCAGAGATGCCGTAGCCCACCTCCCCCAGGCCCAGGTCCCCAGCAGGAGCTGCTGAGGGACCGGGCAGCCCCGGATCACGCTGGGACTGGGGACAGAAAGGACCTGTGAGCAGCAGAGCCACCCCAGCGAGCCACGGGGAGGCCTCGGGGACACGGAAAGCTCCGAGGGGGTTTTCCCCATCCCTGTGGTGCCCGTGGGCTGGAGGCAGCTGGAGATGGAGCAATGGTCACCTCCGGGCTGGGTGGCACCCCCAGGGGCCGGGGCTGTGCCCAGCGCCCTTCCCAAGGACACGAACATCTCAAAGGTCTCTGGGAGCAGTGCCCAGGCGTTACTCACGTGCTGGCACTGGGAGCCGTGAGGATTTAGCAGCAGATCCTTGTGGAGTCAGATCCCAGGGGAGCTGAGGGTCTGAGGAGCAGGGGGCCTGTCAAACCCCCCCCAAAGGTGTGCAGGAGGAGCAGAATCCCTGTCACCATCACTTTATTCATTATTATTACATCCTTCTGGTTTTATAGAAATATATAAAATAGAAAAACATAAAACCCCCTCCCTCTTTCCCCCCCCAAAAAGGATATTTTGCTATAAAATGCAATAAGTTAGAAATAAATAACTGGGTTGCATAAATAAGTCTCTGAGCACAGAAGAGGTTTGGAGTGGGATATGGACACCTGGGCACGGACCCACCCCAGCCCATGGGGGGGGTCTCTTGGGTGGGAAGGATTCACCTGCTCAATAAAATATTTAAATTTTAAATTAGAGAAGAGACAGGGGTATAAGTTGTTTTGGGAGAGTTCACAACTGGAGATGCTGGGGCTGAGCTGGTGGCAGAGCTGGAGACCCCAGGGCCGAGGTGCACAGCAGAGGCAGGGCTGGTGAGGTGCTGCAGGATTTTGGGATACTGAAGACTCCATGGCTGGGCTCAGGTGGATCCAGGGCTGGTGTGGAGTCACTTGGTGCCACAGGATTTTGGGATGCTGCAGCTGGACACTGCATGGCTGGGCTCAGGTGGATCCAGGGCTGGTGTGGAGTCACTTGGTACCACAGGATTTTGGAATACTGAAGACTCCATGGCTGAGCTCAGGTGGATCCAGGGCTGGCGAGGTTCACTTTTTGCCGCAGGATTTTGGGACGCTGGCGCTGCCAGGAGCCGGGATGGCTTTGCCCCTCCTGGCCGGTGCCACGTCCCAGCTGGAGCTGCCGGCGCTGCCCTCAGGCACAGTGGCACCTGGTGACCAGCATGTCCTCGAAGAGGCTGGACACCAGCCTGCCCTCGCTGTCCAGGTGCATCAGCACCATGGGGTCGTAGCCTGCGGGGACGCAGCAGGGCGGAGGGGCGGCCTTGGACAGGGAGTGCACTCGGGATTTGATCTGGGCGTGCATGCTGGCCGGTTTGTAGTTGTGGGGGCAGGAGCCCTCGCAGAACCTCATGTAGTAGCTGTTGGGGGCGATGACCCAGTCCGACCAGCCGATGTCCTGGAAGGAGACCTTCAGCGACTTCAGGCAGCATCTCCCATCGCTCTTCCCGCACTCCTCCTCCAGCCCCCGAGCTCTCCTGGCCGCCCGGGCCGGCTTCTCCAGCGTTTCCACCTCCAGCACCGGCGTCTGCCCCGGGGACGTGGCCAGGGCGGCGGTGGAGTCCAGCTGCAGGCGCAGCGTGGGCTCGGGCCCGGCCAGCCAGGGCTGCATTGCTGCCGTCAGGTCCAGGCTGCGGGGATCCCCCCGCAGCTCCCGGCTCTGCAGGAGCCGCCGGCCGCCCTCGGCTCCCCGCAGGATGGAGATGCTGACCCGCGGTGGCTCCTCGCTGTCCCCGGGCGGCGACGGCGGCTGCTCGGAGAGTTTCAGCTCCGCCCGCACCACGCGGAGCTGCCGGTGGAAATCCGCGCTGCGGGACAGCAGGAGGTGGTAGCGGTAAGGAGCGCGGGGCTCCCGGTGGCCCTGCGCGTCCCGGTGGCCTTGAGAGTCCCGGTGGCCCTCGGGGGTGTCCAGCCAGCGCAGCACTGCGGGGACAGAGGTGACAGCTGATGTAAGAGCCAGCAAACTCCTCATCAGCCCGGGTTTGGGATCGGCTCCGGCCAGGCAGCCACGCTTTTGCTTCCAGGGAATCACCCACATCTTGAGGAATGCTGGAAATGCTTTGCTAAGCTCGTCCTCAGAGCCAGCATCTCCAGGGTCCCCCAGGCTGGAGGATCTCCGTTTTCCTGGTGCCGGAGAAGGCGTCCCAGGACCCACTGGAGCACCCCCACCCAGCCCCCGACTGTCCCCACCCAGCCCAAGGGGGATTATTTCAATTACTGAATCCAAATTTTAATATTAATTCACTTATTTAAATATTTAAATCCCCCCCCCCCATGCACATAATCCCCCAAACTGGAGCTCAAGCTGGGGATCGGGGGATGGCACCTCCTTTCCTCCTCCCGCTCGCCCCCAAATCCCTCGAGCCCCACTCCGAGCCCCCGAACTGCCGCTGATCAAAGCTTATATCTCAACCCCCCCCTGATTTTTTGGTGGTTTTAAACCAAACGGCTCCAGCTGCGGCTCCTCCCCACTTCCAGGGCAAAGGAAGGAGCGGGATGAGGACGAGCGTGGCCACCGTGCTGCATGGCCGGTCATGTCCCCTGCAGCGGGGTGACATTCCCGAGGAAGGGACACGCCGCGACACACGCGTGTCCCGGGGGACGAGGCTCGGGGGGCGACACGGAGCCACGGCCACTCACAGGTGGGGGTCAGGCGGTGCAGCCGCCGGGTCCTGCTCACGGCTTCTTCCTCCTCCTCCTCCTCCTCCTCCTCCTCCTCCCGGCTCCGGTTCCCCGCCAGCTCCGCCACTTTCTGCTGGTAGAGGCGCTGCGCTCTCTGGATGCTCTCCTGGTCCAGCTGGCGCCGGAGAACGGGGGGAGCCGGCATTCCCAGCCGCTCCAGGAGCTCCTTTTTGACGGCTTCCAGCTGGAGCGTGTCCTGGCCCCACGCGCGGGGCCGGGAATCCACGGCCACGGGCAGCAGCAGGAGCTGCAGGCAGGTGAGGGCGGCCCCGAAGCCCCGCAGCGCCCTCGGCATCGCCCTCCTCAGCATCCTGCAGGAATCCGCCGGCTCCGGGGCGGGATTTGCTCCCAGATTTTCTGCAAAGGCTGGACGTGCTGCTGCCGGCGGTGCTGCCAGGGGAATGAATGAAGAGGACCTGACCTGACTTTATAGGAGCCGAACTTTGCCCGCCCTCCGTCCCCCCTCCCGAGGGTGACGCCGGACAGAACTCCCGGCAGGAATCTCTCCTCTCCGCTGGGATTTTCAACAGGAGCTCTGCTAGAGCTGGAGCCGGGTGATGTATAAACCGGTTCGCAGCTGCGGAGATAAAAAAAAAAAATACGGAATACTCCTTTTTCAGACACAAACACTTCCCTTCTGCCTCCCGTTTTCCCTTGGGGAATCCCCCTCACCCCCGGCGGCGGCGGAGCGGGGATGATGAGCGAAGAGGGAGCGCTGCAGGCAGCGGCATCCCGAGCACGGATCTCCCATCCTGGCATCCTCAGCCACCTCCTCTGCCCGTCACCTGGCGGCTCGGGTCGCTGTCACGGCACGGGGCTGATCCTCCCCTTCCCAAAATCCCGGCGGAGCGGGGATGGGGCGGGGAGGCGGCAGCTCCTGCCGGGTGCGCGGCCGGGGCAGGGGAAGGGTTTGCTCTGGATTTTGGCCCTGCGGGCAGGTGCTGCCGGGGGAATGGGCTCATCCCGAGCCTGGATCCTTCTTCTGAGGCAACCGTGGCCGGGGTTACGTCATCCCAAACGGAGGCAGCCGGGACGGAGCCGGGCACGCCGGTGGCACGGGTCCAGCGGGGCCACGTGCGCCGGGCAGCGCCGTGCCAAGAGCGGGACCGGGCAGGGGGAAATCCACAGTGGGAACGACCCCCGGGGGCCAGCACAGCCCCGGCGCTCTCCCAGCTCCTCCTCAGGGATGCTCGGAGCAAAAACACGCGAGCAGAGGGATCAGGAGCGGGAAGGAGACGGGCAGGTCACCCCCCGGGGCAGGCCAGGCCATTCCCGAATGTCCTGAAGTCGATCCAAGCGCCTGGGCTCCAGCTGTGCTCCCGCCGGGGTCGGTAATCCCGGTAATCCCGGTAATCCCGTGATTTACGGCTCTTTGTCCCCGCTCCTCCGGGGCTCCAGCCTTGCCCCGGCTTTTCTCGCCCAGTTGCTCAAGGGGTTGCCCGAGGCAAAGCCGAGACCGAGTTTTCACCCCAAAACACAGAAAAGGAGAAGTTCGCCAGGATGAGCAGGCTGATGTGGAGGGGATCGCCCCGGCCCTGGCTCTGCTGCCCTGCCCTGGCTCCATCCTTGCAGCAGGATGGGTGAGGAGGAGCAGGAATTCCCCCCAGGCCCCCTCACTTCTTTTCCCTTCCCACAGCTCCGCCTTGGAAGGGAATCCCACGTGTGGCTCACAGGGAAACCTCAGGTTTATCTCCAGGGCTTCATCCCACATGGATTTGGGCACCATGAGTGGGACATCGCCCATCCCTCCGGCAGCTGGGCAGGGATGAATTTCCTTCCTGGAGCACCCCAGGGAATCCCCAGAGCCCCAAGCCTGCTGGGATCCTCTCGCAGGGATTTTATCAGCTTGAGGTGATCGCAACCCTCCAGCCCCTCAAATCCAGGGAAGAAACGAGAGGGAGCATCACCCCAGGAGGACACAAGGGCAGAACCACCACGCCGTTCCCTCCCCTCCAGACATCTCCATGTCCACATCAGGCACCAGCCCAGCCAGCAGCCCCCTGCGCCATCCCCAGAGTGCCAAACGTGCTGATCCAGAGCCAAAACGGAGCCCTTGGCACGGCCGGGTGCAGGAAGAGGCCCCGACCTCTCCGGTGACATGGAGCAAGACCCGGCAGCAACCCCGAAATCCCAAAGTTCTGCTTTCGCAGTGGATTTTCTGCCAGCCCCGTGTCCAGGAGTGACGCACTCCAAGAGCATCAAAGGTTGCTGGAGCCGGATGTTTTCCCCCAAAGGCGCCAGCAGTGGAAGCCGGAGATTTACAGTCCAGCAAGGGCCATAAAAGAGGGATTTTGGGAGCAGTGGTTTGATCCTGAGCGAGAGATGATGAAACGTCCCGGCGTGTCCTCACCAGCCTGCAAGGAGGGATTGCGCAGCCTCTGCATCCCACGTTTCCTCAGCTCCTCCTGGACACGTTCAGAGGTGGAAGGTCAGGTTAGTCCGTGCCTTTTCCCAGCAGGATGAAGGTTCCTCTCCAGTTCATCCACCCCATGTGGGTCCCTCCTCTCGGCACAGCTCTCCTGGCACGGATCTGGAGCAGGGGATTGCTGCTCCCAGGGAAAGAGTGGCTGGGATGGGCTGAGGGTGAGGAGGATCAAACTCTGGCAAGTCCAGGAGAAGCTCCACTTGTGCACTGCTGAGCCTGGAAAGGTGTGGAAGTGCCCAAGGCCGGCTTGGATGGGGTTTGGAGCATCCTGGGACAGTGGAAGGTGTCCCTGGCCAAGGCAGGGGTGGGACTGGATGGGCTTTAAGGTCCCTTCCAACAAAATCATTCCATGATTCCAAACAAATAATTTATTTAAAGAAATAATTATTTAAACAAAGAATGCTTTTCCCTTCTCCAGATGCTGCTGGGGAACACGGCAAGGACACAGAGCAAGGGGCTCCAGAGGGCTTCAACTTCCCAAAACGCAGGAAATTCCCCCAGCTGCCCGAACTGGCAGAAACGTTGGGGTTTTTTGTAGAGTTCCTTATCACAAGTGGCGAGAGGGGAAGTGCTATCAGTTCCTCACAGCTGCTGAGCGAAGGATCCCCAAAAACGTGCTCTGGGAATTGGTGGCATCACCCTGGGACCGACAGAGCGGGACCAGGCCCTTCCCACATCCTACAGGACCTCGGTGCTCCCCAGAACCACTCAGGCTGAGCAGGTTGGATGCTGCAGGGAGGAGATTCCCTGGAAAAAACAGCAGCAGGATAAAGAAGGGAAGAGCAGCCTGGCTGCCGGCAGCCCGCGAAGCTCCGAGCGGCTCGTGGGGCTCGGCTTCGAGGGAATGATTTGGGATGAGAAAATCTCTTTGCGGGTCTCAAAGGGGCACAGAGGGATGGGAAGCACGGCTCTCCCTCTGCTGCCAGCGGGGGATCTTCGGGAAGCCGCATCCCGCGTTTTCCCAGCGCTGGCCGCCGTCCTGATGGATCAGCAGAGTGGACGCTGAGGCGACCTTTGGATGTTTCTAAATCAAACCCAACCACGACGGGTCAGAAAAAAAAACAACCTTTGCCCCCCGCAAAACCGGAAACAAAATTTTTTTTCTTCCCTTTGCTGCGAGTTTACGGCATCTCCCAAAAATGAGACTTCTGCTCCACTTGGACAAAGACATTCCCGCCCCGGCTGCACCCGCGGTCAACGATTAACTCGGGTTCCCAACCCCCCAGGCCGGGAAGGGCAGGAAATGCCTCTGGCCTGACCACCAAAAATGGAAATCTGCCTTGGGAGGTCCTCACTCACGCCACCATCACCTTCTTCCTGGATGCTCCAGCTTCCCAAGGAGCTTCTCCCCTGGATGGACTCCCCGGGCAGGGATTTCCAGGCAGGGTCTGCGCTCTGCCCAGGAGGATTTTCGGTTTGCAGATGTGAAATAGAATCCCTGAGAGCATCCTTGGGGTTGGGATTCCCTGATCCTCGTGGGTCCTTTCCAGTTTAGGATATTCAGGGTGAGGATGTTCAGGGAGCAAGCTCAGCCTGGGCAGGATTGATGCCATGGGTGTGGGGAAGAAGCTTTAAAAAGCAGATTTTCCATGGTGGGAGCATCTCCCTGCTCAATCCCAAAGTGCCAAAAGAGCCATATTCATCCATTTTTGGTGCAGATCCAGGAGGAAATCCCAGGCCAAGCTTTTGGGAGCGTGGTGATCCCTTGGGACGCCGACGCTGAGCCCAGGGCAGCCAGGTCAGCTCTAAATCCTTCCTCCAAAAAAAGTTTTCCAGCACTGAGCAGGAGGGAAAAAACAGACGGAAAGAAGCAAACCCAACCCGGGCACATCCCAGAGCTGCATCCCCTGTATCAAGAAGAGAAAAACAACCCCAAAACCGCCTTAAAAACCCCAGGGTTGGAAGAGCCTGGATGCTTTCTGAAGCACGAATTGCAGTTTTGGACGAGGAACGAGCATGGACGCTGCTGGAGAATTTGGGGGGGGTCTCTGGGTGTGTAAATGTTAGTATACAACGTGTAAATAAAGTGTAAATTATAGTATACAACGTGTAAATAAAATGGGTACATTTTAGTATACAGTGTGTAAATAAAGTGTGTACATTTTAGTAATTAATTTAAATTAAATTCACTTTAAAATTAAAAACAATTAATTAATTTAATTAATTAAAAAACTTGAATTACATTTAAAATTTAGATTTTAAAATTAGGGGCAAAAGTGTGGATGTGGCACTTGGGGACACAATTTAGGGATAAAGGTGTGCATGTGGCACTTGGGGATGGAATTTAGGGATAAAAGTGTGGATGTGGCACTTGGGGACACAATTTAGGGATAAAGGTGTGGATGTGGCACTTGGGGATGTGATTTCAGGGTAAAGGTGTGGATGTGGCACTTGGGGATGGAATTTAGGGATAAAGCTGAGGATGTGGCACTTGGGGACACAATTTAGGGATAAAAGTGTGGATGTGGCACCTGGGGACACAATTTAGGGATAAAGGTGTTTATGTGATACTTGGGGACATGATTTTGGGGTAAAGGTGTGGATGTGGCACTTGGGGACACAATTTAGGGATAAAGGTGTGGATGTGGCACTTGGGGACGGAATTTAGGGATAAAGCTGAGGATGTGCCACTTGGGGACACAATTTAGGGATAAAGGTGTGGATGTGATACTTGGGGACACAATTTAGGGATAAAAGTGTGGATGTGGCACTTGGGGACACAATTTAGGGATAAAGGTGTGGATGTGGCACTTGGGGACAAAATTTAGGGATAAAAGTGTGGATGTGGCCCTTGGGGATGGAATTTAGGGATAAAGGTGTGGATGTGGCACTTGGGGACACAATTTAGGGATAAAAGTGTGGATGTGGCACTTGGGGACACAATTTAGGGATAAAAGTGTGGATGTGGCACTTGGGGACACAATTTAGGGATAAAGGTGTTTATGTGATACTTGGGGACATGATTTTGGGGTAAAGGCGTGGATGTGGCACTTGGGGACACCATTTAGAGTGGCCAGAGCACTGCTGGGGAACAGGCTTACACCAACCACCACCTTCAAAGCCAAGAAAAGGCTGAGAGGACACCGGGAGTCAGAGTTAAACTCTTTTATTTCCTTTAAACAGGGCTCCAAATCCTCAGCTACAGTCCAGGCTGGCAGTACAAGCTGGGAGCGCGTCGCTGGTCCCCGAGCCCACAGCCCCTCCGGGATTTTTGGGATTTACAAGGCACTGCAAGAACACACGGACAACAGGAACCCCAAGGGGCTGGCCCCGGCGCCCCAAGAGTCCTGACAAGCACGAGGTGACACCTGAGGCGGTCACACAGACACCGGGCGGCTTCACGAGGGACACACGGAGGACCCGAGGGTGGGGAAGGGTCTGGACAAACACCTCGCTCCAAGAGGAGTCAGCAAAACCCTCAGGAACTGGGTTAATCCAACCAAAAGTGAGGATGGAACAGCAAAACCTCCAAGAATTGGGTTAACCCAACCAAAAATGAGAATGGAACAGCAAAACCTCCAAGAATTGGGTTAATCCAACCAAAAGTGAGAATGGAACAACGAAACTCTCAGGAATTGGGTTAATCCAACCAAAAGTGAGAATGGAACAACGAAACTCTCAGGAATTGGGTTAAACCAACCAAAAGTGAGGATGGTGCCAGCAAAACTCTCAGGAATTGGGTAAACCCAACCAAAAGTGAGAATGGAACAACGAAAATCTCAGGAATTGGGTTAACCCAACCTGAAGTGAGGATGGAACATCAAAACCTCCAAGAACTGGGTTAACCCAACCCAAAGTGAGGATGGAACATCAAAACTCTCAAGAATTGGGTTAACCCAACCCAAAGTGAGGATGGAACAGCAAAACCTCCAAGAATTGGGTTAACCCAACCCAAAGTGAGGATGGAACATCAAAACCTCCAAGAACTGGGTTAACCCAACCCAAAGTGAAGATGGAACATCAAAACTCTCAAGAATTGGGTTAACCCAACCCGAAGTGAGGATGGAACATCAAAACCTCCAAGAACTGGGTTAACCCAACCCAAAGTGAGGATGGAACAGCAAAACCTCCAAGAACTGGGTTAACCCAACCAAAAGTGAGAATGGAACAACGAAAATCTCAGGAATTGGGTTAACCCAACCCAAAGTGAGGATGGAACAGCAAAACCTCCAAGAATTGGGTTAACCCAACCCAAAGTGAGGATGGAACAGCAAAACCTCCAAGAACTGGGTTAACCCAACCCAAAGTGAGGATGGCAGAGCAGATCCTGCTTGCTGCCCCTGCCAGGTCCCTGTGTGTGTGTGAGCACACCCGGGGAACTCGGTGCCCTCTCCGAGGAGCACCCCCGGATAATAACGGGAATTCCCACCAGCTCAGGGGTTTTTCCAGCCCCATTTTTCCACCCACCCACCCACGGGGGCAAACCCATCCCAACCGTGAGCCCAGCACAGGACAAGGCACTCCCTGATCATCAAAGTAAACATTTGTGATTGAAGAGGCTGGTGCAGTCGAAAACCCGACGGTGGATTTTGAAGTACCACGGGGTTTTCTCTAAGGGCAGGGATGGTTTCGTTTCCCATCATCAATTCCTATCTGTGGGGAGGCATTTCCTTCCCTGCTTTGTCTTCAAATAGACTGAGCAGAAGCAGGTCCCAGGTTTCAATGAACACCTCGAAGAATTAACAACGCCCTCAGCTCTGGAGTTTTGGCAGAATTTCCCTTTCAGCACATAAGACACTCATCAGACAGAAATACAAGATTATTATTTTTTTTTTTTTTACGAAAAAGTGCACTTTATACTGCAAAAAAATTAGGGATTCTGGTGCAAAAATAAGGAATTCATCTAGATCAAGATGAGTATTTATGGTATCAACAAGGGGGGGGGGTTTTCTCTCCATGTCAATAAATTTAGAAAGAGCCTTTGCAACTCTGAAATTCCTAGCGTTAAAATAAAATTAAATTGTTAAAATATTATTGGATAAAGGATTAAAGGAAAAGGAGGTAAGAGGGAGGAAGTTACTTTGGGAAAGGATCTGTACAAACTCATTGCTGACAATTTCCTCTGCGCTGTGGGGTGAAATCTGAAAATCGGAATGAAGAAAAAAAAAAAAAACACCAAAAAAAAAACTTTTTATGCCTAAAGATCCTGATTTTCACTCGGATTTCAGACACCACCACTCCCTCCTGCAGCAGCTCCGAGTCTGAGAGTGAAAAATCCGGGAGAAATGAAAAGGTTCAGGAATCACAAGGAATTACCCCACAACCCCCCCATGGCCAGAGCATCATCCCTGCTGCAGCTCCTGTGGGATTCACCAAATTCCCTCCTCCTCAGCCTCTGCCCAGTTTTGGTTTCAAGAAGCTCCACCTCCTCCTCCTCCTCCTGCAATTCCTAAAAAAAATAAAATTTTTTAAAAAAAATCCCTAAAAAAAAATAAAAATCCACCCAGCAGGGCAAGGAGTCAGAGAAGCCCAGGATGGGTTGGGTTGGAAGGGACCCTAAAGATCACCCAGCTCCAACTCAGCTCCAGGTTATTTGAGCATCAGAAGGAATTCTGTGGATTTTTAACTTTTTTTTTAGACTTTCTCATCAAAACCAACGACACTGGGAGCCTGTGCTGTCCGAGCAGGCTTGGCAACTCCTGGGTTTTTATTCCAGCAGCCTGGAATAATCCCCTTTTCCAGCTGCTGAGGCACTGGAAGGTTCAATATTGCCTCTTTTGGGATACCTGGGGGGGTTGGATGCTACATCTACACCTGGCCCCAGGTGAGTTCAGCCACAATCCACCTTTTTCCACACCCCAAATCCCATGGAGGTGAAAATTCCCACATCCCTGCCTCAAGGAACGTCCTCCTGCCGTGGGCATCGCCATCCCCACGGCTCCACGGATCCCAAATTTATCCCAAAGCAGAGCAAATTTTTTTTTTTTTTGGGTTTTTTTTAGGATGTCTGGAAGCCTGCAGGGAAGGACTGGAACAACTCTGGGAGCTCAGGAGCTCCTGGCTGCAGCCTCGTGTCACAAGCACACCTCAAACCCTCTTCCTCACCTTCCCATCCTTTCCCACTCCTCGGGAGCCTGGGGGATGCTGCAGGGGAGGTGAACGGCTCTGCAGGAGCTGCCAGACTCCCAAAAACCCCCAAAACCCCCCCAAAAACCCCCAAAACTCCCCCAAAAATCCTCCAACCACACCACAGAAACCCTCAGGCTGGGAGGGATCCCTAAGGATCATCAAATCCCACAGGGATCCTTGAGGCCGAGAGCCTCCCAAGCTCCTTTTTCCTGGGGTTTTAAAGGAGATTCCCAATTTTAATTCCCAATTTAATTCCCAATTGAATTCACCTCCCCACAGCAGCATCACCAAGCCGAGACATTGCTGAGTCTCTGGAGCTCCTCAAAAAATCCTCTGCAGGATTTAAACAACCTTGGGACAAAGAAATTGTCACCCCACTGCTCCAGGCAGATAAATGGCACCAGACCCCATCCAGCAGAACCTCCCTAAATTCACTTTTCCACACCCAAAATCCTCAGCCCCGTCTCCCCCCTGAGCCTTTATCCCCAGAGAGGATTTTGTACCTAAAATTTCAGATTTTTAAAATATTTTTTTCCCACATTACAGGCACGGGAATGAACGCTCCACCTGAACTCCCTACGCTTTTATTCGCCAGCACAAAGTTTTTGGGCTTGGCAACAGGTCTCCCAGTCAGTGCAAATTAGCAAATTCTATTAATTGACGATTAATAGAAAGGAAAACAAATAGGGTTTAGCAAAACATCAGCTTTGTTTTGAAGTTCTGCATCAGTTTGATGTTCTATTCCCAAAGGAAATAGGGATCTGTAAGAAAAGATCCGTGAATTGGACAAAACAAACAAACAAACAGAAAACAAACAAAAAAACCAAAACCAAAAAAAAAACAAACAAAAAAACCAAAACCAAACAAAAAAAAACAACCAACTTAAAAAAATCCCAAAACAACCCCAAAATATTTAATTTAGGTCACATTAAATAAAATCAGTTTAATGCCATTTTTCCCCAGTTGGGCTACAGGAAATTTCTCTACCACCAAGACAACTTTTATAAACACAACCTCAGGCTAATTTCCCAAACCCCCCACCTCTGCCAAAAATTTAAAAAAAAAAAAAAGAGTATAAAATAAATTAAATTTTCTAAGGAACTGAGCACGTGGAGCTTCCCCCCAAAAACAGATCGGGAGGAAAAGCAATGCCCAAAACATTCCCAAAAAATGGGATTTTTAACGTTGACCCACCCAAGGCCAAGCACTGCAGCCCTCAAATTCCAGCAGGCACGGAAGTGGCTCTGGATTTTCCCTTGGAAGAGCAGAGAGCAGCCAGAAAAAGGAATTCTTTTTAGGTGCTGAACAGGATTTAAGTCGCCAGGCTGAAGAAAGCCACGTGGCAAGATGCTGTGCCCACGGAACTGCTGCTGGCTG